GCACTGACACACAAATGGCTGGAAGATCACCGCCAGGCATGATTGACGAGAAGGTGCCAGGACTATTGCCTGGCAACAGAAAATAGTACTCACCTCAAACTTTTTGTCGTCTCTGGTCCTATTTCGTGGTTTCTACACTCTCTCGGCTCTCTCGAAATCCGTCTCTTCTTATGGCCGTTTGGCAGTGCTTCTTCTTTTTTTCGGCACCGCTGGTGCCGCCCAGCCGGTCTGACCGCGTGCCTTTGATCTGACCGGCACTGCGGCTCTCGCGCCAGCTGACAGGGCAAATCCCGCGCCAGAGCTCGGCCGTATCCGGGTAACGGCGTGCAGCCCGCCCCCCGCCCCCCCCCCCCCCCCCCCGCCTCGCCCGCGCCCCCACCCACGCGTCATCAAGTGCAGCCCGCCTCAGTTGTGTTTGGTCGACCTTGTGTCGTCATTTGGCGCCGTGGCCTGCCATGAATCACGCAGAGTTTTGACTGCTGTAGGCGTTGGACCCAGGTGATGAATGTCTCGCGCTAGGATGTTTTGCTTAATGTACTGCGGTGCTTTCCCTTGTTTTTACCCAGTGCGACGGTCACAGGGCCTGGTTTTGGGATATGATTCAGCCAGCAGAAGTGTGCCAAGTCAGACATCAAAATCTTTAAGGACCGAACAGCCGCATGGGCGGTATTTTGTTTTAAACCGTTTAACAGGGCACGGGCATATCCTATTGATGGGAGCACTTATACGTTAAAACAGATAAAACAGCCTCATTGCCAACAACGAATGCCAAGAGTGATTCTTCTAACCCAAAAGCAGCTTGGTACAGAGGTTGACATGCCATACCATGGATGTCCACACATAGTGATGCTAAAGTAAGCACGCGTATGAACGCGAACTGTCCTTCACAGCTCCCTCAGCGACTTTTAGATAAGGTAATGTTTGAGCTGTGTTTTCCGTGGCACCGCTGGGCGATTTCGTCAACGGGATTTCCTTGGGGCTATTTTTAGTCCCCTCCCGCGTAATCTTAGGAAGCAGTCATAGGTCCAGAGAAGTTGAGATGACAATCGATATCCCCGGCGATTGTCGTCTAGAAAAAATGGCTGACGAATGCCCGCTTAATGAAAACGTGACAGGTCACGTGAAATGCTTCTCAAACCCTTTGAATCGTTGGACGGCTTCGGGGTCTTGCGGCTGGAACGGTGGTCACGCAGCCGTGAGACTTGCTAAACAAAGGAAAAAAGACTTACTTTGCGTCATAAATGTAACATGATCTCAACAAAGGTCCTGAGTCACGATCAAATGAGCTCAACAGTGTGCTGGGCTGAAGCCAGAGGGCCTCCCACAGACGAACAGTGTGCTGGGCTGAAGCCAGAGGGCTTCCCACAGACGGGGATTATGTATGTATTTTTTTTTGTATTATACTCGTTTGTACCACATGACCCAACATGATCCGCGATGCCCTGTCTATCAGAGTCATTCGCTTTTCTAATGTACTGCTCTACTGACCTGTTTGTCACGACCTGGCAAAAGAAATCACATAAATTCAGCAGTTATCAGCTGACTTCGCATGACCTGTGATGGCAACCAGATACACCGCTCGCATCGCTTACCTGGTACTAACTGTTGGTAGGTCTAGGTAGCTTTCATACTACGTCAAAACGGTTCTAAATGATGAAGGAAGCATAACATTGCTTCCTCTAGAAACACAAATAGGCCTCCAGGCTTTCACTAGTAACCGCCCTGTCTCCGTGACTTGACCCATTATCAGAAGAATGTGAGGCCGTACTGTGTCAATCTGATCAAACTGGCAAACTGTTCATTAGCTCAGACGGTCGCTTGTTAAGGCAACGTGAAGCAAACCACAAGATGGATGTCAATGATGTCGTCTTGCACATATGCCTCCATTACAAAAATACGCTACGACAGGTTTCGCTCTATGACCTGTAATGCTTCAGGACGCCCTGCCTTATTTGGGCATGGTTTATCGGGCATTGCTTCTGCTGTCCAGGCGGCTCGCAGGCATGATATGTTTTGCGACATTCTTAGACTGGGGCCGCAGGAACTATCCAGGAGGCTGTCAGGTGAGTCCGCGCCACGTGATCCCATGCAATGGGCAGGCGCTGCACGATTACGTTCTCCGAAAAATGGCTGCAGTTTCCGCAGCCCAGCCCTTTAGTAACTGCATACGTAGCTGAGCCGGACTCTACGGCTGCGTAACGTGGAAAAATAGCGCCCGTATGATATCACCGGCTACGCCAAGTGGTGACGGATTTTCAGGCGCGACAGGCCCGTGATGTAACGACAGGGGCTGAGGCTGTTCAGTGACGTAACTTCTTCGGGTTAACTGCGGCTTACTGGAACAGGACCCGATTACCTCATGCCGCGAGACGCCTTCGGGATAGACTCCCGGACTTGGTAGCAAAACGAGTCGGCGCATTTGCCATTTCCGATCACTTCTATGCTGCTTTACGCTGCTCTCTGATCGTTTCACAGATATTTTGTGCTATGACTCGTGGCACCCAACGGGTCACAGTTGTGCATCCAGACGGTTACAGTGATCATATTTTGCTATCCTGTGAGATCGTGCAAACCGTAGCCGGAGGAATATTTCAGCTAAGATGTTGAACTTCAGTGCTGACTGCGTTCCTCTGTTTTTTCCTCTGTTATTTAGAATCGGCCCGCTTTGTTGGCAGCCTCTACGGGACTCGGACATGTCTGGCTTTGTGTGTGCAACTCCGCACTATTTTGCATAGCTGCATGCGTGATGAAACGAATTTCTTTTGTCAGATTTGCGAAATATAATGGAAATTAATTGCATTAGAGAATCTTGTGGTAAAAACTTGGATCTGCCATAAGGTTGTCGATGCCAGAAGCGGGTCAGAAGCGGCATGTCAAACTGGTGCTCAAGTTGCGTTCAGCTTGTGTGTTTAAAAAACGAAAATTGTAATTGAAGACTGTTAGAAGGAAATTCAAAGTCAGTGATACAAATAAGTGACGATCATAACATGCATTTTTGATGAATGAAAGGTTACCTATTTCTCGCTGCATACTGTTTATTCAAAGTAAATAAACTGATTTAAAGGTATGTTGTTAACGGATATGCATTCGTTCACGATCCCAGACACTACTGAAAGCAAACCATGATAAATGAAAATACATCATTTCATCGCCTCTCAGCTGACCAAAACTTTTGCTCGGATCAACTCCCATGTACTTACTATGAACAATTTTGCTGTAAAAGTGCGTCGCGAGCTCAGTGAAGAGCCACGAGCTAAAGTTGTTAGCCCAGTGTGACAAATGGTGCTGGTTCTCACTTGATAACTAATGATGCCGGTGCACCTGGTGCTAAATCGCGTCCTGCACGTGTGCCATGACGGAGAATGCAACATTGGCGCAAGCCACGTCATGGCACTTGATATTGCATCAGGTCTAGAGGTGTGTCTGTCCCGATGTACTGGAGCTTCTGGTGCTTCGGGCTTTATTGATCCTGGCGCTGCAACATTTCCAGCTGAGCTGAGATCTACAATAGGTGATCTGTAAGCCTAGAGAGCAGCTCGTGAGACTACAGGCGTCGCAAAAAAGCAAGTTCAACATGCGCAGTGCAATCCTTGAAACCATGGCACAGATTATCCAATCTGCGAGATGCCCTTAATGTGTCAAAATCGTGACTTAAAACATCGTCCAATTACACGGTTTTTGGTTTGGCGATGTTTTGATCCAATTAGATTGCGACAAAAAGCTGGCGGCTCTAACCCAGAGCTGTTAGCTTGTCATGACCTTTGAACTACTTTGACATGGTAGATTAGAATTCAATTTTATCAGCTTGCACGCGATGTTTAAATGCAACGGCTGGCCAGGTACTATCTGATCTCGGGTCACGACCTTAGTTTTCGGCAGTCGTGGCGGCATCTGCTGACAGTTGCGGTCTTTTGTGCAGAACATCTTCACGTCACCGGTCCTGTCACTATACGGTGGTGTGTAAATGCCGAATATGCTCTTTTTTACGGTGAGCTATTCGCCATGCCACCAAATTATTGTATGTTGTATGATGTACAGACATCGTTCCTCATGATTGTATGGTTATTGCAAATGCTTTCACCGTCTTTTTTGGTTGTACCGTACTTCAAAACAATCTCATCTTCATCACAAATCGCACTCTTCTATTCTCGACAAAATGTTTGATCCTCGTTCGAAGCGCTTCCAGAACGATGCTATATGATAAAATCCAACAGTGGGGATTTCTGGTTGCATCTCAGTTTGACGAAACGACGTAAATAGAGTTAACGCATATAACCTTGAAGGAAAGACTTACAGCCCACCATCGGTATGGTATATATATATATATATATATATATATATATATATATATATAAAATAGCCTGTGGCATAGACTGAAACATGCGTCTATCCCACCCTTTCAGAGATGCAGACTCTTTTACGAATGTGTGTCATTCAAAGTAATTGTGTGTACAAAGTAACTTTCGGAGTATTGTGAACACTTTCGAGACCATGCCTTTGCATGCTGTAGAACCAGAGTTATTTCCACCGTTCATTTCTCTGGATGAGTAGTGCGTTATGAAACAATACGCGCAATACTGTAACAAAGATCGCTCCAGTTAATATGGGATAACTGATCGTTCGGTTTGGGACACGGCCCCGTCTTTGCTTTTCCATGCAGTCACGCCTTTAAGTTCACTACGCAGGGTGCAGAGAACGTCGCTCTCAATATGTTAACGCCGCTCTCAATAAGTCCCATCGCCTCGGAAGCCGGATGGCCACAGGGCGCAGCCAGCTATGTCGGTTTGACGCACCCCCGGCCATCTCCGGGCTGCGTGGGGTTGACGTAACCCGGCCATCTCTGGGATTGTGTGGGATTGACGCCGGGCTGTGCGGTGTTGACGCACCCGGCCATCTCCCGGGGCTGTGCGGTGTTGACGCACCCGGCCATCTCCCGGGGCTGTGCGGTGTTGACGTACCCCCGGCCACCCTCGACAGCTGATGCCACGCTCTCTCCACAGCTACGATGGCCACAAGTCGACCAAGGGGGCGAGCAAGATGCGACGCGACCTCATCAACAGCGAGATCGCGATCCTGCGAGACCTGCTGCCGCTGCCGGCCAGCACGCGCCAGCGGCTCTCGCAGCTGCAGCTGATGGCGCTCGTGTGCGTCTACCTCCGCAAGGCCAACTACTTCCAGCAGGGTGAGTCCGCCGGCTAGCGACCGGGAGGCCTTCTGTGGGCCGTACCATGCCGCGGCCACTCGAGAGGCCAGCGGCCGGGAGGCCTTCTGTCGGCCGTACCATGCCGCAGCCACTCGAGAGGCCAGCGGCCGGGAAGCCTTCTGTCGGCCGTACCATGCCGCAGCCACTTGAGGGGCCAGCGGCCGGGAAGCCTTCTGTCGGCCGTACCATGCCGCAGCCACTCGGGAGGCCAGCGGCCGGGAAGCTTTCTGTCGGCCGTACCATGCCGCAGCCACTCGGGAGGCCAGCGGCCGGGAAGCCTTCTGTCGGCCGTACCATGCCGCAGCCACTCGGGAGGCCAGCGGCAGGGAAGCCTTCTGTCGGCCGTACCATGCCGCAGCCACTCGAGAGGCCAGCGGCCGGGAAGCCTTCTGTCGGCCGTACCATGCCGCAACCACTCGGGAGGCCAGCGGCCGGGAAGCCTTCTGTCGGCCGTACCATGCCGCAGCCACTCGAGAGGCCAGCGGCCAGGAAGCCTTCTGTCGGCCGTACCATGCCGCAGTCACTCGAGAGGCCAGCGGCCGGGAAGCCTTCTGTCGGCCGTACCATGCCGCAACCACTCGGGAGGCCAGCGGCCGGGAAGCCTTCTGTCGGCTGTGTCATGCCGCAGCCACTCGGGAGGCCACCGGTTATAGACTCGAGGCTGGCTGTGGGACTTCTGCTCGTGCAGTTTGCACGATCCAGTACTGCGCAGGGATTTGAGAACTTATCTCATAGAAAGCCTTAATGAGAACAAACTAAGGCAAATACGACAGACGTAAAGCTGTAAAGCGCAAGAAAGTCTTGGAAGAAACCGAAAGAAGCAATCAACCTGAAAAACGGCATGCAGAGCAGGGCTGGTTATGGAACGATGCCTTGCTCGTAACAGCAGCTCTGCTCGAATCAGCATTCTACGACGTCTGATTGACAGTTTTCGCCGATTAACCCCGTCGATATTCAGAGGCTCAGCCTGACAGGAGTGCAAATGCTGCCATTAGCAATGAGCCTCACTGACCGTCAGATAAACATGCCAAGTCTTGACATTGCATACTAGTTAGGCCATGTCGCTGCACGAACGCGTTCCATCAGGCTTCAGGCGCATACTGTCGCTAAAACTGTCGCCTAAAGACGTGTCCACCGTATCATGAAGTTCTGTTACTTGTGTGACATTACCTTATTAATTGGCACGATCAGTACTCACGCAACATGCTGAAGCAAATGACGACAGTCCAGGTATCTGACTAATCACATCACTGACGTGAGTGGTGCTACATACTTAGCCTGCTTTCCGTAGGTTCTAAACAATGTCGTGCGTCTATGACGCCATCACGTCCTAATTTTGGAGAGCGGATGTGCTCCTATTCACGACCAGTTTATGGTGCTTCCAGCCTCTTCCATCCAATTACATATCGATGTAAACTGTGTTGCAAGCCGATGCTGCAATAATTGGTGCTCCCATAACAAACGGGCACATGAAGGCTGAGTTGTGCAATCCATAGACACCATGATGTACACGGCTTGCGCTTTAATCTGGGTTTCTCAAGAACAAAAACCAGTCGAGATTGAAAGCAGATTATTCTAAACCCATGCTGGGCGGCTCTCCTTGCGGGAGCCTCGTAATTATTAATTAGCTGGTCTTCATCTACTCTCTGCCTCACCAGCGTAAGGACGCGACTGCAACAAAAACGTCACCTTAGTTAATCAATGAATTACCTACCAATGTGTTTCACCGCTGGTACACAGTACCAGCAGTTAATGATTCACTGTTTTTAACGCGTCACACCCAATTGGGGAAAATATGTCACACCGAAATCTCTTTACGTCATGCTTGCCCCGTCGGTTTGCTAAAGCCACCACCATGCTTGGCTGGCCGTATAGTTGGCACGCTGTTTGGTAAGCAGACAGGCCTTAGTGTTTAACACAGGGCAATTCTGCAAACGTAGGTGCCAATCGCAATACAGCCAATGACAGTTACGACAGACCAGCGATAAATTACGGAGACAGCCAAGACGTTAGCATGCTTTGTCGTAATCAAAATAGTACACTTAAACCCTGCATTTTCACGGTGAAGGCCGGGAGCTGGGAGCTTGCCTCCCCCCCCCCCCCCTCTCTTGACAATACCGAGGCTGTCGCCGACACTGGCTGGGCCGGACCGGGGTCGTGTTCGGCTCCTGCGTCTTTGGCCTCTGCGCGGCATACTAACTGGTCGTGGCCGCCGGGGCGATCAGGTGTGCTCTCAACACCGGGAGCCAGTGTGGCGGGGTGCGAGACACCTGCGGCCAGTGTGGCGGGGTGGGAGACACCGGCGGCCAGTCTGATAGGGTGCGAGACACCGGCGGCCAGTCTGGTGGGGTGTGAGACACCGGCGGCCAGTCTGGTGGGGTGTGAGACACCGGCGGGCAGTCTAATGGGCTCTCAACACCGAGAACCAGTCTGGCGGAGTGAGAGACACCGGCGGCCAGTCTGATAGGGTGCGAAACACCGGTGGCCAGTCTGGTGGGGTGTGAGACACCGGCGGCCAGTCTGGTGGGGTGTGAGACACCGGCGGGCAGTCTAATGGGCTCTCAACACCGAGAACCAGTCTGGCGGAGTGAGAGACACCGGCGGGCAGTCTGGCGGGGTGTGAGACACCGGCGGCCAATCTGGCGGGGTGGGAGACACCGGCGGGCAGTCTGGTGGGGTGGGAGACACCGGCGGCCAGTCTGGTGGGGTGGGAGACACCGGCGGCCAGTCTGGCGGAGTGAGAGACACCGGCGGCCAGTCTGATGGGGTGGGAGACACCGGCGGGCAGTCTGGCGGAGTGAGAGACACCGGCGGGCAGTCTGGTGGGGTGGGAGACACCGGCAGCCAGTCTGGCGGGGTGTGAGACACCGGCGGCCAGTCTGGCGGAGTGAGAGACACCGGCGGGCAGTCTGGTGGGATGGGAGACACCGGCAGCCAGTCTGTTGGGCGGGGGGGGGGGGGGGGTCTGGCCAAACGTCTGGGAGAGAGGAGCTCCGTCGCGCAGTGACCGCCAGAGAGCACCGCTGGGACGGGAGGCGCTTTCGCTGACGGGCGCATCGGACAACGCTGGCCGGGCCGGTGCGTCGAGGCAGCTCGTCTGGGCACTGGCTCAGACGGACCGCGGCCTGACAGACGGACCAACGCTGGCCGCTGCGTCCGATTAAGCCACGTTGACCTGCGGATCACTCTCGTCGTCGCCAACCGGGGATCTTTTATTTTTTCTTGAACCCACTTGCCTATCACCCATGAACATGTTGCGGGCAGTTCCACCAGCATTCACCGATGCACACAAAACGAAACGTCAGCCATCATTTAGAAATTGAATGTCGTAAATCTACGGCAACCCTGCCAAGAGATAGGAAAGAAGCTGGCCAATGAAAGCGGTAAGTACAATGTGGGGCGGGGGGGGGGGGGCTGAACATGTGCAAAGCACAAAAAGAGATAGCGCAAATTGATGTTCATGATGCCAGCAATGATTCGAAAATGCGATCTGGACCTGTCGCTGCGCCTGCAGACATTCCTGCTGACTGGGCAAACTTGCCGCCAGTAGATCAATGGAGGTGCCGGCACAGCCTTGACGGCGACAATTATATCCTGACAATTACGACAGATATTACAATTATGACAATTATGTCCTGATTTGTCGCATTATGATCAGAAGCGCACTGCTTCTGCCCTGAGGATCGTGCAGACCGCAGCTGTCGCAGATCTTGTTCAGATCTGGCCCAGATCGCTCAGATCCTTTCGCCTGGCCGGCAGATCACAGGGAGCATCTCTTGCCGGTTTGGATCAGACGAGCCGCCGTTGACTGATGGATTAGATTGACCTCCGCTGGCTGGTGGGTCAGGGGAGCACCTCTGGCCTGCAGAGCAGCGGACTCGTCTGCGGATCAGATGCTGCGCCGCCGACTGGCGAAGCAGATGGGCCACCACTGGCCGGTGGGTCAGAGAGAGCTTCTCTCAGAGGGAGAGTGCGCGCGCATCTCGCGCCGGCGGATCAGACGGCCCGCCGCCGGCCGGTGGATGAGGCGTTGTGTCGGTCGGTCTCCCGCCGCCGCGGCCCGGTTTTTGCGCGCGCTGTTCCGCTGCAGCCGGACCGTGCGAACGGCTCCCAGGCGGCGGGCAGCCACGAGCCGGGGTGCCGAGAGCGGCCACCGGCGGGGGAGGAGCGGCCGCCGCCGACGGCCAGCCCGCCGCAGCTCCGGGAGAGCTGGCATGCTGAGGTTACTGCCGGGGTCAGGTCAGGTCAGGCGTGAAGGCCGGGGTCATGTGGTGGACTACGAGTGCTGACTGCTGTCCCGTAGGGATGCTGGGTCGTAGATTTGACCTCACACAACACGAAGTGCACCATCTGCTGCCTGCTCACTTGCTCATCGTTCATGCTGGTGCATTCGGAGGTGACGTAGGGTGACATGAGCGATCTCTGCGGTTATTCCCTGTGTGCAGCAAGTGCCAGGCGCCTCGAAATATAACGCAGCATGCCGTTCAGGTCACTTACCCGTGTTCACCTGCACCTAGGTTTCGTACACTCATGTGCAGGTTGTCATCTCGTGTTTAACCCAAGGCGCTGTCGTGTCGCCTTGCGTGTTCTCCTTGCTGTGACGAAGCCGCCGTCCATGGTCCGCCGGTCCTCGGAGGACCGGCGGACCTCTGGCGGTCCTCCGTCAGTGCCACGTCCGCCGGCGGCGGTGGCACTGACGCGGCCGCGGTGCCGTCGCTCCTTCACGGGTCGCACGTGCCGGCCAGAGCACGGCACCTGCTGGCAGCGTCCCCGCCCCGTCTGCAAGACGCGCCGCGTCGGAACCGGTTGTCGGGATCCGGCGGCGGCCGTTCCGGATGCTGCAAGCTCGCACCGTCCATATCGCCCTCGCTTCGGCCTGACTCCGGGGGGCGCCCCTGGCCGCCGGCCGCCAACGCCGGAATGTCCAGACGGACCTGCACCGCCCCCTCCAGTTCTGCCCCGCTCCGCCCCCGCGGAGG